ACTTCATTTTACCTCTGCGTCAAAGAAACAGCTAAAAAACCCTTTTTCGATAGACAGCTTGTCAGAAAACGGTGTTCGCTTTCTATTTGTTTCTATCATTCTTTCGGAAAAGAATGTCAAATATGTAGCGGTCCTTCCCTTCCATCGCTTGTGTATTCTTCCAACTCAATTAAGAATGAGTCTTCTAAGGCCTTCCGCGACGAATAATAAATCGCCAAAGGAAGTGCATGAGAAGATAAACACGCTGGGGTTCTTCAAATGCGTACAACACTGTGCCCAGATATCAGGAAGTGAACTTGGAAGCTACCAATTTATTAAAAGTTTTTGTTGTGCTTGAAAATAAGTTGAAATTAGAGATCACCGTTCTTGTTCGCTCCTGCAATCGCCGCACATTGCTAATATCTTTGATAACACCGTACAGTGGAGTTTTTGCTGCTTCCTGATCAATAGCAACGGACTTGTCGAAATCAATGTCCAACTCCGCAATGTTTCCCGCGTTCTCCGAATCCACTTTGACAATTCTGAAGAGCACACTTTGACTGGAAAGTGTGGTGGCAGGCACGCCAATCCATCTGCCTCTTTCGAATCCGCCGCTGCGAATAGTGAATTCTTTCTGGTGATAAACTGCTACTGCACTCCCAGCTTATCGGGAAATCAAATCGCCAGCTTATTTCTCATTCAACCCCCCGGACAAGGGGTGGGAGTAGTTACTACTGGCTAAGTGATGATACCCCAGCCAGTTCCTTTCAACTGCCTCCAGAAACTAACGAAACAGATGAGCGAACTTCCAGCCTTTGAAAGATGGCCTAATATCAGAACTTTTCACCAAACAACTGTGCGGCTGAGATGCTCACTGTGAATCTTGGATGCTCTTAAAATGGCCGCCGTCCACTACATCTGCTAATCAGTAAAGCCGGTTTGAACCATACGTGCGCGATATCCGTGATAAAGTGATTATTCACTCCAATTTTGGAACAAATCCACGGCCGCCTTAAGAAAAAAGCTGCAATGTTGCTGCGTTAAAAGCTCGTGTCATCTCCTACTTCTGCTGTGCTGCGCCTGTTAGTCCGAAATATGCTATATATAAATACAGAAGAAATCAGATGAAGACTACATAAATACAACAGAAATCAGATGAAAGTGAGAAATTTGAAAGAGTTACAGGTATTCGAAAGCACATTCGGAAGGGCACCCCAAAAAATGAATTACATTTATAAGGAAAAACTGCCCAGAAAACAGTCAAAATAGCCAAAGGATGTAAGATTTAACAATAACAGCTAGGAGTACTACTGACTAACCTAACAACCCGTCAGGGAATAAAACATTTCGAACGCATTCACGAAGGAAAATATGATTACTGGAAAATAAAGTTTTCAAATTTAAATTTTTCAAACTGAAGGGGAAAAACCTCATGGAATATTACTTCGTCAGTTGGCTAAAGTGAACACTTATGAGCTGGGCTGGGGTTGCTGAAAGTATTTCTGTGCGATGAAATACCTCCTTCGATAGGGACTAGAATCTTCACAATTCCACCGCTGCTACTACAGCAGTTAAGCAAGCGAAACAGAGCAGCAAACAGTGAGGCCAAACAAACTAAAACCAACTTGTTAGACGAAATTAGTCTTTGCCAATGTAAGCGCACCTGTATTTCGCAGGCTTTTCATCAAAAGCATTAATATTCGCAAATTCATTGCCGGTTTTTGACCGAAAAATCGATGAGAACTCTTTATCTGCTTCATCCAAATTACTGAAAGGTGTGCGCTGATACTGCCCGGTCTGATCACCAATTCGACCCCAATTTGTGAATAAAATATACAGCTCGCTTCCTAAAATATCACTAAAAATATCACTAAAAGTAATCTGCAGCTTCTGAAAGCACAAAGATCTGCGCAAACCTCAACCTTATAAGGGTAATCTCCGACTGGACACTGTGATGCCAGAATTTGCCCAGAACAAGAGTATTTAACTTAACCAACATTACTGGCCACTGCGGGAGCACAGACTTCGATGACTGAGGCTTTATTCAGCAATTACTAAAACTTTACTCCGCCCGGAAGGCGCCGCACAGCAGCTGCAAAAAATTTTTTCTGGCGTTGGCAGGTAACCTTACCCCACTGTGGTGCAAATGACTTTAGACGCAGGTGGGATGGGTGAAGGGGCGGGGTATGAAAATTTGAGGCGCGTGGATTCTAGGCAAGGAGAGAAAGGTGTATTGATGAACTGGGTGGCTACGTACGATAATTTCTTCTCAGTATGCTTGGAGCTGGCAGAGTTTCCATGCCTCCGTTGAAATATGCGTATCACAATGAAATGCTTCGGCCAGAGCAGAATGTTAATTCAGAAAGACAGTCACCTTTACGCTTGATCAGTTCCATTCGATAGTAGTTGTGGAAGCCAAAATGCCCGCGACTTATATCGGTTTTCGTTAATAGCACCTATAAGTAGGACATGTATATTATGATATGCAATGTATTAAAAAAAATTATAATCAAATGACTGGCATTTCAGTGTAAACACTTTATCAGGCAAAAAAATTGTGTACATTTATTTTGGGATGGAAAAAAGAGCATTCAGGCAAAAACAACGCAGCTGATCTATTACTAGAAAAAACTGATCTATTATGAGCTGAACCGATAATCAGACACCACACAGTTCACGAATTTACTACCAAAGAAATCAGCGTGTGCAGAGGCCGGCGCACTTTTCTCGTGAAATGAAGGTACGCACTGGCCATGGGTGCCGATCCTCAGATTACACCTGTACTGGTACACAGAGA